CACACTGTGTGCCAAGCATTCTGCTAGGCAGTGTGCTTTGATTAGTTCATAGCAGAGATTGCTGTTTCCATTTTATAGATGAAGTGATAGAGGTTCAGAGGGGTGAAGTGCTCAGAGGGCACTGCCTGCAAAAAGCAGGGCTAGGCTTTGAACCCAGGACCGTCAGTGTCTTACTTAGCCAGAGCCTAGGACAAGACACGCTGGTGGAAGATCTCTAGGCTTTCCCCCACACCCCGCCCCGGAAGGTGGCTGAGGAGTGACCCTTCTCAGAATATTGGTGAATAAAGGCCCTGGTACTGGAGCTGGTTTGGGTCCAAAGATCGCTAGGGGCTACAAAGCAATCTTGGGGGTTCAGGGGATAAAAGGCTTTTCTCAGACATCCCATGATATTTTTAGGAATCCATGTTCCACAAACCACCACAAACCATGGTGAGAAATGATTCCAAAGCTCCATGGCTCAGTGTGATGTTAACAATCAGTTAGGATCACCAGGATTTATCATGGCCAAGAGGTATCTGGCTTTGCCCCATCTACTTGTTTTTCTCATCCTACCTATGGAAATGACATATTAATAGATTTCCTGGTCTTAAACCATTCTTGCATTCCCAGAAGAAGCCCTGTCTACTTCTGGGACATTATTTTTAATACACTGTTGCCCTGGTGGTTTCCCAGATGGCCTCATAAATTCTGGGAGCTGAGGGAACCTTTGTGGAGCAGAGGACCAAGTCCCATCACCTCTAACATTTCCAGAATCAGAACCCACGAAAGCAAAAGGCCAAAGCAAAACTTGAGGAAGAGAATACTGTGGCCCAAGTACATAGCTCAGGCCTGGACCAGCTTGTGGTGGGATAGCTGAGGATAATTTGCAGCATTCATAAATTTAACATGTTATATATCAATTATTCATGAACTTCCTAGAAAGTCCATGTTGTTGTAAATGGTCATTTTTCCAAGCCATGATTCTGAGTCTCATAATGCAAGCTGGGATGTAGGAGCTAATCCCCCCAGCTGATGGGTGGGCCAAGCCAGCCCCCCAGCATTTGCTTCCCAACACAATTACATGACTTCCTACTCATTGAACATTGACCATGACTCAGCTGGTGTTATAAAAACCTGTGTATTTTGTGGAAAACAGCGTAAGAGCCAACTTCAGGTGTTGACAAAAGAGGAGAGAAAATGAGGAGGTCGGGGCCAGTGATGATTCTAGCAAGAAAATGACAGTTTGGTGTGGGCTCAAGTGGAAAGCCTAATTCTGTCATGGCTTTGCTTCTGTAATGTTGGCCAGTTCACCATTTGCTCTGTGGAAGTAGGGAAAAGCGGTTCGTGACACTGTTACAGTGAATTTGCCAGCCAATAAATAAATTATCCATCAAACCAGAGATAAAACCTTGGCAAATGATAACAAAACAGTAAGCTTACAGAATTTAGATATGTAGAAGTGATAGTCCATATGAGTTAATTTTGGTGAGTTTATTTAAGTGGCATCTTAATAGTGGAATAAATCACTTTCATCTTATATTTATGGAATCATGAAAGGCCTATGGGTAGTCACTTAGATTTTCCAGTTATATTTTAATGCAGTGGTTGAGAATCTTCTACTAGGCAGTGGAGCACTCCCCTGGTAAGCCTGATCTGTAAAAACAGGTGAAGCAGAGCTACTCTGTGTGAAGGGAGAGCAGTGAGCTCCATCGTGTCCCAAGCTTCTCCTCTCGGCACTGGGGCACCTGCGTGGGACCTCTTGCTTCCCACAGTTGGGGAGGTTCATTATGGTCTGATTCATATCATGTTCCCAGTGTCTAGCACATGTCCAGGCATGGAATATGCACTTAATGAGTATTGGTGAGTGGGTGGATGGGTGGATGGATGGATGGTTGAATATATGGATGGATGCATGATCAAGTGAATGCTGAATAGATGCCCAGGTAAATACATGGGAGGGTGGATGATTGGTTGGCTGAGTGAATTTATAGAGGATTGATAGATGACTTCACATTCCAATCCTCCTTTCCACTATAACCTACCCCACTTATAATGCCACAAATGGCCAAGTAAAATGTTTCAGGATCTTGACATGACATTAGCTGACTTCCTGTAGAGACGCATCCCCATTGTAAGAAGAATCCTGACCACCAAGTCACCTTTTCCTCACCTCCATAATCCCAATGTTTAGCTCCCATCAAGGTGACCTTCCTATAGCCTCACCCAAGGAGTACCTCCTTTTCTGAGCTCTGCTGGGACCTCCCCCCTCTGTGCTCCTTCCTCCCTCCTCTGATGTTGCTGGTTTGTCCTCCAAGACCCAGCCCCACCATGTGGACATCCCTGACTCCGAGCCCCCAGCGCTCCGACATCTCTCCATCAGAGACACCTGGCAACCAGAGGTTGGGTATCGGCGAGTGGGCTGAGAGGCTACCCTAAAAAACAGAGGAGGAGACCCAGAAACGCCCAAGCAAGTCAGCCTGCCCTGCCATGTCCCCTGCCCCAGCCCCTCTGCACATCCCTGCCAGGAGGCTGGGACCAACCAACATCAAACAGAGGGAAGATGGCGCCTGAATCATCTTCCCCACATTCCCTCCAGTGACCTCACTGACCTCATCCTGGTGGGCTCAGCAGTGTAGGAAGAAGTGCACTGCTGAGGCCAGACTTGCCAGGGAAGTGGACCTGTGACAAGTGTCCTCAGACTTTCCTGTGACAGGAGCCATCAGTCAGATGTGAGTCGATGGCCCCCCTTTTCCTTCTAGCCAGCCTCTCCGAGGGAGTGGGCAGGCCTAGAGGCCTAACAGTGTTGGCTCAGCACCTCCAGTGTCTCGATGCCTTTCCCTTGCCGACACTCCCCAGGGAGCTTCAGGCTGCAAAGACCGCTGCCCTGTACCCAGACAGAGGGACTGGAGAGCTGCCTGCGCGCTACACTCAACAAGGACTTGGTAGTGATCATCTGCCTCAGTTTCCCTGCCCTGCATGTTCCCCAGACTAGAGCCAGCCCTGACCCCATCCCCCTGACACAGGACTGGATCTTGTCAGCTCCCCTCACACCCACTGGGCGCACCCAGATGCCACCCCCTCCCCATCCCTCTCAGACCCATTCACCCACCCTGGAAGGAGGAATGTTCAAGAATAAGTATCTCTTTGGACAGAGTGCAAGCAGGTCCAGAGAGGGCAGGGGCGTGCCAAAGGTCACACAGCTTGTGAGTGATGGAACCAGAAACAGAACCCAGGTCCCCTGCCTCCACCCCCACCACATCCTGCTCTCTTGAATTATCAGACATGCCTGGGTTCAAATCCCAGATCTGCCACAACACTAGGGCAAATCTTCAGCTCACCAAGAGCCAGCATCCTTATCTATAAATGAGGGTGACAAAGGCATCTGCATGGAGAAGCAGCAGGCCCCAGAAGACCCCGCCCCACATGCAAGCCTGGGTCACGTAGAGCTTTCTGACTCCACTGTGGCTCCCAGTCCCAGCCTGGGACCCAAAGTCTGGAGGCAGAGACTTCCGCCTGGCACAGCAGTGGCCCATGGCCCTGGGTACCACCCCAGCCCCAAAGGGGGCCTTGGGACCCTACCTGCAGAGTAGGGAAGCATCAGGCCTGTCCCTGAGGCCTGCTCGGAGCACATCTTTGCAGAAAGGCAAAGGAACGCTCTGCAGTGGCCTTATGCCCATCAAGTGCATTCACCTGAGCCCGGCTCCGTACTCAGCTCTGCACAGTGTGGGGCTATGGGCCTCAGCCTCCTCCACCCCAACTCCATGCTCCTGTGGACCCTGGCATCAGCCTCCTCCCTGGTCCCCCACTTCCCACTCTGCTCCCCAGTCTGCAGCCAGAGGGCTCTCCTAAAACACTCTGACCACACTCCTTCACCCATGTGTTTCTCTTTGCCCTGGAGATAAAGCATAGTCTCTTGATTCCACGTTCAAGAGCCCTCAGGGTCTGGCCGCTACCAGCTGCTCCGCCTCTCCCATGATTCCTCAGGCGCACCAAGCCTTCACGGGGGCCCCAAGGTTCTCCTATGGTGGAATTTGCCAGACTGATTTAGCATCAATCTGGAGCCCACCCCAGACCCAGACTCCTCAGTTAAGACCTGATCTACTCCCCTAGACAATGATACCTCTTCCATTCCAACAATCTGTCAGTGCTTGTGAATATCTGTGGATCCCGCATTTGGGCTGGATGGTGGGGTGAGGGATGAGCAGAAGGAAATGCCGGTGGGTGAGTTAGAATGACGTAGCCCGCCCCCACACACCCAAACACACAGAGTAACCCATCCCTGACTTCCCTCCTTGCGATTCAGATGGCTCCCAAGCTCCCTTTCTGTGCTGGCCTGGCCCAAGGCACTGGAGAAACCCAGTGACAAAACAGAGAGGACATGGGTCCTGCCCCCCAGGGGCTCTCATCCCATGTGGAAACAGAGAGAATATGAGTGTAGGCTCGGGAATTGCATAGAACAAGCTGGATCTAAGTTTTGGCTCCACCCCTTTTTCTACTTCTGTGCCTCAGCTTCCCCATCTGTAAAATCGGAGGGAAAGACAACACCTACCTCTCAGGTTGCTGTGATGATTAAATGAGATCCTGGTGCTCATAAAGGGTCTAGAGCCTGACCAGTGCTGGTAAATGCTCCATGAGAGCTACCTTAGTATTCACATTGTTCCTCTGCGGAGAAATTGCCCCAGGGCCCCTCCCCACAGTCCCAACCACATCTCTGGAACAGATGCAGAGATGGAGGATACACAGAAGAGGGGTCCCCTCCCCCAGCCCTGAACTGTTTGCCCCTCAGCCCTGAATACCTGCTTGCCACAATCTCTCTCTTGCTGACACACGCGGGCTCCCTTCTTCGGAATCCTGGTGTCTTATCAGCAATGTTCAGCTGTTTATACGCCTCCACCCTGCATAAGCCGTAGGTCATGGCCTGCTTTGACTACAATAAAGTGATCCAGAAGAAGCCAAGCATCGTTTTAGAGATAGGAACGTTTTAATTTATCAAGATCCAAAAAAAAAAAACCCAACACCACAGAGCCTAGTGCCTGGTAGCCACAGAATAGCAGCAAGGGTAAGAGCGTGGGCCTGAGGCTGCCCACTGACCCGGCTCCCTCTCTGTGGGCTACGTGACCTTGGGCAAGTTACTTAACCTATCTGGGGTTCAGTTTCTCCACCTGTTAAATTGGGGATCCCATCTCAGGCCGTCATGAGAATTAAGTGTGTGAGGAGTACTAAGCATGGAGTGGGACACACAGTAGGTGTCCCAGAGATGGTAGCTACTCAGGCTGCTCTGTGGAGGGAGGGCGGCCTCTCAGGGAAGAGCTGGTACTTTAAGGCACAATTTCCTCTTGACCGTGGGCACCTTTGTAGAAGAAGCTTGGGAAGAAAGTCCAGAATGGAGGCAAAGCTTGCTTTATCCTCTGTCCTTGCCGCAGCTGGTGTAGGGGGACGGGGAGGCAGAGGGGTGGGAAGGAGGGCTGTCATCGTGTTGTTTCTCTGCCGTCATATATATCTGGTTGATAAAATGGGCCCCGCGTTTAGAAATTGCAAGAGTTTCCCTCATAATTTAAATCAGCACCTACCTCTGCCGGTCACAGTGCCTGGAAGATTAATCCCTCAACTGGCTGTGCAGGTGGACGCTGGTGCCTGTGGGCTCCATCTGCAGGCACGGGTGAGGCCATCCCTGCGCCCAGCTGATAATGAGACGGGCACTGCCGGGGGGCGGCGCTCTAGTCTGCAGCCGACACAGCGGAGGCCGGGGCTTCTTCAAGGTGACCCTGAGGGGCCGGCACCTCATGCTGAGCAGAACAGGCATGCACCCTCACATCCAGCTCTAGGTGTCCATGCTGGGCACCTGCAGCCTGGATGGGCCAGCTCTCCAGGAGCACGTCTGCCTTGAGTCATGGGTGACCGATGTGACCCAAGCCATGGCAGCAGCAGGGACACACCGAGCGGGACAGTCCAGAGCCCTGATGGCCGTGTGGACCCCTCCACACTCCTGCCTTCTCTGAGGAGAGCTGATGTCCCTGACACACCCCAGCTCTGCCCTTGACTTCCAAAGTGAGAGGCCACCTGGTGAGGAGGAAAAGGGTGACATCGGTTGGACAGCTGGCCAGCCTGGACTTTACTAGAGAGAATCTGGTAGCAGGGGACCATGGCTCAGCTCCAGTCCCAGCCAAAGCCCTGGCTACTGGCTCCAGAGTAGAAGCACAGGGTGCTGTGGTCACACTAGACAAGTGGGGCCAAAGGCTCCATTTCCTGACCAGGAGGAATCACCGTGAGGACCACTGTCACTTAGTAACATCTACCACTGGTCTCAGTTGAGGAAAGAGTGGCAGGCGTGCTTCATGTCCACAGCCAAGGACTTGAGTCCTCCTAAATTGAGGTCAGATTGGACAATTTAAACAGATCTCTTTTGCCTCAGAGAAAGACAAGGAGGAGCGCCTCCCTTTGCCACCTTTCATCTGTGGGTCTTGAGGAAAAATGGACAACTGGAGCTTAGGGCAGCTAGCTGAGAGCCAAGGGAATAAAAAGAAGCTGGTACTTCCTCAAAAACTCAAGCAGTCACAACCAGTCAAAAGCAGACATGAAACCGAATTCCGTACCTTGTTGAAAGTGGGGTCCTGAGGTCTTGAACTGTTACTGCTGCATGGTTGGTCTCTCCCTTCAGTGCATCAGCCCTCGCTCCCTGCATCTTAGGGCTGTGTTCTTAGGTGCATATAGGTTTATCATTGTTACAACTTCCTGATGGATTGCCCCTTTTGTCATTATAAAATGTCCCTTTTATCTCTAATGACATTTTTTGTTTTAAAGTCTATATTTTTTTTAATATTAGTATAGCCACTCTGGGAAGCCTTCTCTGCTCTGATCCAACCTGTTGACATGTCTGGGTCAGTTACCATTTGATTTCCCTGGAACCTCCCTGGGCAGGCTTCACCCCACCCTTTCCATCAGAAAGCCAGTGTCGGAGGCCAACAGAGTTGGTCCTCATACTTTGACACCCCGCCCTCCTGGGTCCATCACCCACCCCTTTCCAAGATCTTGGTAAAGCTGACCTTCCAACCTCAAGTCTTGGCAGAGTAGAGTCCCTATCTAGTCCTGAGTCTTCAGTTCAAGCCTCAGCTCTGCCACTGATTTGCTGTGTGACCTTGGGTAAGCCTCTTGCCCTCTCTGAGTTTCTCTTTTCCTATCTGGGAGTTAGTTGAGCTCTCGGGCCAGAGCTGGAGAGGAGAGGAGGGGAGGTCAAGCCCCAGTAGCGGAGGCTCCTGAGGCAGGAGAGCAAAGCACTGCTCCCTTCCTCCCTCGCACAGGTAGGCAGGACCCAGTCCGTGGGGCTGAACCCAGACTATCCTCCATTTATGTAGCGACACATCAGTCACAGGGCAGCAGGGCTGGAGGAGGAAGCCCCAAGCCAGTGTCCTCTCTCTCTTTGTTCGCAGTAGCTCGGTACAACCGCACCAGCTATTTCTACCCCACGTTCTCAGAGAGCTCGGAGCACAGCCACCTGCTTGTGTCTCCTGTACTGGTGGCAAGTGCAGTCATAGGTGTGGTCATCATCCTCTCCTGCATCACCATCATCGTGGGCAGTATCCGCAGGGACCGGCAGGCCCGGCTCCAGCGTCACCGCCACCGCCACCGCCGCCACCACCACCACCACCACCGCCACCGCCGCCGTCACCATCGGGAGTACGAGCAAGGATACTGTGAGTTGCCATCTGCCCCGGGGCCCGGCCTCCTGTGTGTGACTGCCACCCAGGGGACGGTGGGGGAGGTGGCAGCCCTGTCATGGGTGGGGCAGCGGGGTCAGGAAGAGACCAGAGGCACTCACCAGAATGCTCTCAGGGGCCCGAGAGGTCCCGGAGTCTGCCAAGGGTGACGCCAAAGGTCAAAGGGAGGGTGTGGTGCTACTCCCCAGCCTTGGCCAGTGTGGGTCTGGTCCAGCTGCAGCCTGGAGGCAGGGACGGAGGGAGAGAGGGATGGGTGAGGAGGATGGGAGGACAGATGGCTAGGTAGGAAGGTGGAGGGATGGATAGGTGGGGGGTGGGACGGCTATATGAATAAGTGGATGGATAACTGACGGCATGAATGATGAGTGAACGAATCTACCCCCAGAGAGCCTGCAAAGTGCACACAGAACTGATTGGAGAGTTTCCCAATTAGGAGAATCTTCCTTACACAGGGCGGGTGGCTAATTCTTGGGCCAACCGGTCCCGGAAGTGTCTGTCTGGCCAGAAGGCCTGAACTTTTTACAGAACGCAGCCACCTCACTCTGTCTTACACTTAGAAGGGGCCCGTTATCCAAAAGCAGCAAGAAGGAGCTCAATTCATTCAATTTCCAAACGGTTGTCAAGAGCAGGAAAAAAACCTGCCCTGAGGCCTGATGGGGCCTCTGCCCAGAGTTGGGGGGTTACATAGGCCCGGAGGTCACCATCACACTGAAGGGGAAGCCATCTGGAGGCTCCAGAGCCATGGCAAGGCCTGGGAGTCTTTCCTCTCCAGGACAGGCAGAGCTTGAGAGAAAGAAAGAAAAGAAAAATGTAAAAACTGGTTAGGTTGGATCTCCTCCGCCTGGACCTCAGGAGGCCTGAAATCCACAGCCCCCTCCCAACACGCCCTGATCAACGAGCAGCTTTGTGCCACTTCCTTCCCCTTTCCAGAGTTAACTGGGTGAGGAAGGGATCACCTTTTAGCAATTACGGCTCCCCACAGCTGCAGCCGGGGAGCTGAGGCAGGGAGGAATTAGGCAGTCGGGGCGTCACTGTGCGCCGGGCACTTTTCACACATAATCTCATTTAATCCTTACCGTGGTCCTGGAGGTTGGACTACTTTTTATTACCTTCCCAATTTACAGATAAGCAAGTTGAGGTTGGGGCGTTCAGGCTGCTATAACAGACATACCAGAAACGGAGTGGCTTGTAAACAAGAGAATGTATTTCTCTGTTCTTGGAGGCTGGGGACTCCCGAGATCAAGGCCCCTGCAGATTTCGTATCTTGGTGAGGGCCTGCATCCCTCTCGCTGTGTGCTCACGCGGTAGAAGGGACGAGCTAGCTCTCTAGGGTCTCTTTTGTGAGGGCACTGATCCCCATTATGAGGGCTCCACCCTCACGACCTAATCATCTCCCAAAGGCCCCACCTCGTACTAGCAGCACCTTGGGGGGTCAGATTTCAATATATGAATTGGGGGGCAGGGGGCCACAAACACTCAGACTGTAGCAGGGTGCTGAACCTCCCTAGGGTCACCCAGCCAGGCAGACCCCAGATTTGAGCCCAGGTAGCCCGACCTGGGCTCCTGCAGGCTCCCCACTGCACAGCACTGCCTCAGAGGGGCTGGTGCTCACACCCCTGAGGGAGGCTGAAGCTGCGGGCAAACAGCAGCAGGGGCGCCCCACGCGCCCAGGGCCCCGTCCGGCAGACTCACTCAAGACCCAGGGGCCCGGCAGACCCGATGTTGCTCCTCTGGCAATGTTGTTAGGAGAAGAAGAGCAGGAAGCTGGCCCTCTGAACAAGACACAGAGGGACATCACATGGCAGGGGACAAGTGGCCTCAATGGAAGAAAGGTGCAGCTGGCCAGTGGGTCGCCCTCAGTGTCCAACAAGGGAAGCTAAAGAGAAGAGTCAGCACGAATCAGGCAGGTGCTGAAAGCCCAGCCAGCCCCGACCCCTCTAGTGTCCCCAGAGGCCGAGGACTCCCCAAGAAGACAGCCAGGAGCACTGCCCAGACCCGGCCTGGCTTGTTCCTATGCTTGCAGCACCAGCCTGACCTTTGAGGAGTGCAAGGCTCCTGCCTGGGGAATGCCCACCCCCAGTAAGGAGCCTGGGCCCCCCTCTCCACCACCACCCCCGCACCGTAAGGTGCCACTGGTCAGGCCCAGCACAGCCAGCCTGCCCACCTCCCATGGCCCAACTCTTGCCTGCCCTCCTCCAGCTTGTCCCCAAGCACCTCCTTCACACTCCTCCCCCACTCCACACCTTTGCACATGCTCTTCCTAGGCCCACAATGCCGTTCCTCATACATCCCCCAACTGACAAAAGCCTACTTGTCTTTCCAGGCCCAGTTCAAAATGCCACCTCATCCTGCCCAGGCAGGGTTGAATTGCCCTCCCCTGTACTTGCTTGGCATTTACCCACACTTCTACCAGTGCCCCTGTCATGGGACGGCTGGGTTGCATCAGGGAAAGCAGGGCCTGTATGTAGCTCTCAGCCGGTGGGGCCCATAGCCCAACACAGGATCTCACCCAGAGAAGATGCTCCGTGGCCCAGGGAAGGAACCACCCCATTTCCTCCTCAATGCAAGGGCTGTGTTCGCCCATTTTATTTTTTTGGTATTTTTTTTTTTAAGTCATCTCTACACTCAACGTGGGGCTCGAACTCACACCCCCAAGATCAAGAGCCAGCCAGGTGCCCCTAGCCCATATTAAAGACTGGGAAAACCAAGCACCTTGTTGAACAGCCTGAAAGTTCCCGGGCCCGAGCCTGGTACTTAGAGCATGGGAGAGGGGCCCATAGTAAACCCTAAGCTGAGGTTTGAGAGGCCGACCTTGGCCTGGAGGAGAGAGATGGGCCTGGAGGCCGCAGGGCCGGTGCCACGTGAGCAAGGTCCTGGCCGTGATCTCTGGAGTTAGTGGGGTGACAGTAGGTCAGAGCCAGGCCATGCCTGGCATCAGGCCTTTGCTGCCCCATGCTGACTGGTGGCAGCCCTGCATCCCTGTCCCCAGGGGTACCCATTTGGGGGGCTCCCGCCTCCCTGCCCCACTTATGTTCTCAGCTCTTGCCTTGGCGCCTCCCTGGGGCCTCAGTGGGGAGCCCAGAGGCACTGACGCCCCCCACCCCACAGCTTCTTCCCGCCTCCTGGAGGGTGCACGGGGGTGCCAGGAGCCTCAGAAGGAGGCCAGGGAAGAGAAGGGAAGCACACTGTGCATAGCTATGGGAAGGACAAAGCAGCAGAGCACCGACAAGCTCCCGCCTGGTGGCACTGGGGACCCTTCTGTCCTCCAGACAGCCCCTTCCCCTGGCTTCACTGACGAAGGCTCTCCTGGTCTCTCTCCTACCGCTCAGCCGGCTCCTTCTCAGACTTCTTTGTAGATTCCTAGTCTCTGAGGAGAGGAATATCAAGGTCCCTCAGAGCCCAACCCTTGGCCCCGGGTCCTCTCTCTACACGCACTCCCGGCTTCATCTCAGCCACCTGCCAGTTTCGGGCACCACCTGTCACCCTCGGCCAGGATCCCCCAGGCATCTCTCCTCGAGGTCTCACAGGCCCCACAGAACCAGGCATCCAAAACGGCCTTCATCTTCCACGTCTTACTGTATGACCCAGGGAAAGTTGTCTAACCACCCTGTACCTCAGGGGAGTCACCTGCACAATGGGTACCCGGGGACCTACCCCTAAAGTCACTGTGAGGACTAAATAAGCACAGTACCTGGCTTCTGGGTGCGTGCTCAATACACGTTCACTCTTTTCATTCTTTCTCCCCCGAGAAAACCTGAGCCAGGGCCACGTCGGTGATACTGGCCACCGCCCCTTGCCAGCACCTACCTGGCAGCTGCCAGGCATTCTCCACAAGGCAACCAAAGTGACTGACCTGGGAACACTTCCATCCTCTGCTCAACACCCTTCAGTGGCTCCCCATTGCCCTCAGGACAGAATTGGCCCTCCTCCGCCTGCCCACAGAGCCCTTCTACAGTCTAGCCAGGCACAGAGAGAGGAGCCAATAAATGTTTAAGAATGAATGAATGAATGAATGAATGGAATTCTATTTCTAGAAGATGGAAAGATCTCTCACTTTAGGAGACAGATCTGGTCTCCTCTTACTTGCTGGGGCTTTAGAGCAAGGGGCCCCTCCTCTCAGTTTCCACCTCTGAGAGCAGGAGGCGGCCACAATGCCTCTCACAGGTGTGAGGGAGAATGTAGTCACCAGGTTAGAGCACAGTAGGTCCCCGTGGACGCAAACTCCTTCTCCTCACTCCCGGGCTCGTCAAGGGGTTAAATCATGAGCTGAGGTGTTTCTTGATTTGGGTAGAGAACGGGATAGGGAGGTCTCACTCCCCATGAGGTGGCTGGAGGGGTTCCAGAGGCCTGGACCATCAGGGTCTGTGCTGACGTGGAAGTCGGGAAAGGAGAGGGCGTAAGAAAGGAATTGGGGTGAGTTGAAATGAGGGGCTGGGGGAGTCTTTCCAGCTGTTCCTTAGGAACTCTGTCTGGACTGAGCTGGGTCAACTCAGGATTGGGGTCTGAGCTAGGTGAGTGCCTCAGGGCAGCCTCAGTTTCCCTAAGCTGCTCAGCCTCTGGGAAGCCCCAGGAAATGAGCCCAAGAAGAGAGGGGAACAGCAGTGTGGCTCACGGTCCAGGACACAGCCTTAGCTTTCCCAAGGTTGAGACAAGCCGCAGCCTCCTGCGTGGTGGATGGGCCCCTCCCGGCACCGTAGCCCAGAGGCCCACCTCCCACCTCTGTCCTCACCCTATTTCATGCTTTTTTCTTTCCTGAGTTTCTTCCTCAAGTTCTTCCAGGCATTCTCACCCTTCAGCTGGTACCCTAAAGGGAAACAAATCTCATTTCAGCTCCTTTTTATAGCATGCGTCATTGGGTACCTTTTTCCTAGTAGAAAAGTAATATGTGTTCACTGTGGAAAACCTTTAAAATACAGAAAATATAAAGAAGAAAATAAGGGTCACGATCCTGTCATCAAGACAGAGCCACTGTTAACGTGTCTGGAATATTTTCTTCCGAGAGCTTTCTCGATGTCCATAGATAACCCTGGGATTATACCTGCAGTTAGAGTTTCACATCCAAATTTTTCTACTCACTGTTGTAACAGGAGTGGGGAAAAGAGATTAGGGGAGTGGCAAGAATAGTCTTTATGGTTATACCTATTGTGCATGAATTCCAACTCTGTGACCCTGAGCCTCAGCCTGTAGAATGTAGAATGGGGACGGACAT